TCTTTTTCTTCTCTCTTCTCCTTTTTCTCCTCTTCTCTACCTATGTCTCTTTTCTTTCTTTAATGACTTTATTGAGGTAAAATGTAATTAAAAGCAAAACAAAAACCCAAACATAATTTAATGGGAATGCCCATGCTTTTAAAATTAAGGACAACAAAAAAATTATTGGAACAAACTTTTTAACTTCAAATTTTTCTTTCACAGATTTTCTTAACTTTCTAACATCTATTGTTTGTCAATTAGTACATAAAAGCAATAAATGAATAAGTACCAGATAGATAATAGATATATAAGGTATCTTAACGAGTTGCCTGCCTTTTTTGTTTGTTTGTTTGGTTGATTGGTTGCTTTTCTATTCATGCTTGTGGTCTTATTAGAAATAAAATCTGACCCATATCATGAAACTACACATACTGATATCTTGAGGCATCACATAAGGAATATTATCATCAACAAACAGAACCATAACTTTTCAAACTCTGCTACTTAAACATGTTTTGAATCTTTGATGCAAGTAACATCAGAGTGGAGCAATAAATAATCATGGAGATGTTCTTGTCAGCACTAGTATGAATGATATGCCAGTATTAAGATGCAGATTTAGAACAAAGTGAAAACTTGTGAATAACTAGGAAGCATTTTCAACACAGCACTTCCTCATCCAGTTAGCTAGGTTTTCTCTGATAAAATACCTCAAGCATTTTCATCATGTCTATTAATGTAGAATCAATATACACTGCAAGAAAAAAGCAAGGACTAAGGTCATTTTCTCCTCTCAGTGGGAGTCTGAACAGCCAAGCTTGACATAAGATAAAACAACATACTGGTTAATGTAAGGCTGTGAATGTTTTTACTGACATTTTGTTTTGTTTCTGTTCACAGCACCCAACAGCCATCTTGAATATGGAGCTGTCGCTGAAACAGGTAGGTACTTTGTAATTACTGGTTAACAATTAACTTCAGAAGTCTCAAGTTCCCTGAATCAAAATTCATTTGCAGAATCTATTGAAACTGGAGACTAGAAGTTAAGTCATTAATAATGCAGAAAGTTGAAGCTTGCCTGTTTCTCCTCCGATTTATCGGCAGTCTTGGTTTCAGCCTTGCCTTGGGAGAATGGAGAGAAAGAGATTAATGGAATAGTGAATAGTGTGTGCTCCTCCCTTTTCCTCCCCCCCCAAAAAAAAGAGTGGGTGTCTGTTCTCCTGAGATTGTATTTCTGCTCAAGTCATAAGACATATATTTAAGATGCCAATCACAAGCATTGAAAAGGTATTTTAATTAGGGAGTCTAGGATTTCAAAGATGAACCATGGTACACAACACAGAAGTCAACCTTCAACACTTTACTCAATAACAATCTCTTAGAAGCAATTTTCTGAACTAGAGAACTCTCATGTTTGTTATGAGTTTATTTAATTCTACTTGCTTAGTGATGCTTGGGATCAAACCTAGGATTTTACACTTATTAAGCAAGTTACTGAGTCCTTTTTTTGGGACAGAATCACATTATCTAACTCAGACACCACCTCCTGAGTATTGTGTTTGTTGACAGTCATGAACAAAAGGTGATTTTCTGTTTTTCAGTGCTGGGGATTGTCCCTAGGCCATTAAAAATATTAGACAATCATTTCACTTCTTCTACCACTGAACTATATCCTCATCCTTCTGTGAGTTTAAATAGAATGCTACATGCCAATGTTGTAGACAAAGCAATGTAAATGTTAATGGTGGCCAATTTTGACAATCATGACTATATATAATACGATTTAACACTTCCCTCATATTATAATCCACATCTTGATAGAGTAGATTTAGACTTACCATTCCATTTCTACACATACACTCAAGATTTAAGAAAGCCATTTCAAAATATATGTCCCCAATTAAGGCATTGCTACAATTAAACTTGATAGCCCAGTTCTTAGAGGAAAGTCTAAATGGGTTTGTTCTGAGGCCCTTTCACTGATTTGCTCATTCAAAAACACTGATTGCTTGAATCTCTGCTATCGTGCTTTGAAGATACGGAGAAGAATGAGTGACATAGCATTAATCTCCCCTCCAGAAGCTCTGAGCAGACCTGACAGAGGGAGAAGGCCACCAACAATGCAGAGGACTAATTGAAGCATCCACCGAAAAGACAAATGAGAGAATGATTTGAAAAGGAGCCAGAAAGACCAGGGGAAGGGAGGGAAGGAAAGAGATAGACAAACTGTCATGAATGATGTAGTTAACAAGATAAATAAAAGAGGGATAGAAGGAAGGAATAAGAACGAGAAAAGTAAGAGTCTACACCTGTTTCTATTAAGTGTGTCTGAAATTTGACCTGAGACATATGTCTGCTTAGGGTAAGAGGAAGTGAGAGATGATTCTGAAGAAGTAAGTCTGAGTGTGTGAGACTCTACCTGTCCTCATGACGCTTAACAGCTTAAGGACAAAAGCCATTAACGTCCTTAAGCAGGGGAAAGTCACGAGAAGACCATCTGTTTAGAAAGCTCTGTCTGTGGAATGGAGTGGGCCCTCTGCAGAGGCTGGGGTTATGAAAAGAGGCTGACGTGAGAGGAAGTAGTTAGAACCTTGCAAACAAGCTAAGCAAAGGAGGATACAGAGCAAAGCCAAGCCCCCAGCAGTGGGAGGGGTGGAAGCACATTAGAGCTCCAGGGATGAAGAGGAAGGTAGTGATGGTGATGAAGGTGATGAGGAAGGTGTAGTTATTTGCCATAAGCATTTCAGAGAATTGTGGAACAACAGAAAACAGAATTCTTTGTGTTTAATGACAAGAAAATCAACAGAATTTAACAGGCGATGAAGTACAAGGTAAATTTCTATAAGTTGAGAACCTCTGTGCTTTTTATGCTAGAGTCTATTTCTGTGAGGTTCCTCCTTAATTCAAAGCTGAGAGCAGTCCCCTAGAGTTGACCATAAGTTTTTGAGAGCGGAGACGGAGACTTACTCACCTACACTATTCTTCCTTCGGCAACACCTCTGCTGCAGACACACATGGATGTATATGGGGAGTTCTGCATGAATTCCTGGACTAGCTTTCAAAGTGTCATTTATTTGCTGTTTCCAGGATCCTACAGCCTTTGCTTTGTGGTAGGGTATTGCTCAAGTCTACCTGGTGATGTCTGCATAGAGATACTTAACATCTACTCTCCCAATTGTAACTTATATCCTTTCAGAGATCACTTCATCTAAAAATAGTGTCAGGAGTCTCTTTTAGTCAGTCCTCATGTTGACAGGCATGGCAGAGGCATGTCATCAATGTTGCCATTAATATCTGTGCTTTCTAGAGCCTACCAAAGTATAATTTCTACTATTGAGAAATAATTTGACATCTTAATTCCATAGTCTAGCGCTGGTTTTCTACCTTCTTAAATTATTGTCAAGCCTACTTTAACTTTCTAGAATGTTGTCTGTAGTTTTTATTGTTGTTGTTGTTTGTTTGTTTTAATTTTTTAGGGGCGTGCCACCCAGCTCCATATAAATACATGGAGACTTATTCTTATGAATACTGGGCCTTAACTTGGCTTGTTTCTAACCAGCTTTTCTAACTTAAATTGTCCTGTTTCTCTTTAACTATGCTTTGCCTCCTGGCTTTTTATCTTTCTTTATTATTCTATGTATCTTTCTTTCCTTCTTACTCTGTGGCTGGCTGTGTGGCCAGGTGGCTGGCCCCTGGCATCCCCTCTTTCTTCTTTTTTCACTTCTCCCTCTTCTCTCTTCCCTAGATTTCTCCTCCTATTTTTTCTCTCTGCATGACAGCTTCACCTATTCGTTCTCTCTCCTGCTTAGCTATTGGCCATTCAACTCTTTATTAGACCCATCAGGTGTTTTATACAGGCAAAATAACTCAGCTTTACATAGTTAAACAAATGCAACATAAAAGAATGTATCACATCTTTGCATCATTAAACAAATATTCTGCAGCATAAAAGAATGTGACACATCTTAAACTAATATTCCATAATAGTTGTCCATTTCAGTATTGACATCTTCAAAACAGAGTCCGGCTGGGATGGAAGAGATTGATTTGTTTTACCCTTCCTCACAATTCTGCACAAGCATTAACAGGTAGCAGGACACTCACAAATGGACTTGGAGCTATAAGACGATATTACAGAACAGTTGTCTCAAGACTAATGTGAGCAAAGGGGCTGATTCGTTTTCTCTGCTTGATTTGCAGCAACAGTTGTACATTGGTTCCTGGGATGGATTGGTTCAGCTCTCCTTGCACAGATGTGACATTTATGGGAAAGCATGTGCAGATTGCTGTCTTGCCAGAGACCCCTACTGTGCTTGGGATGGAAATGCTTGCTCAAGATATGCACCCACTTCCAAAAGGTCAGGGCGCTCCTCCCTCCCACATGGGTTTCTCACACGAAGGCCTTGCTTGTAGTTTAAGTTAAAGACAAATAGAAAACTCTGCCTGTGGAAGGAATATTACAATTAAAATAGTCAAACACTTTATATTAAGTGAAAGTTGGAGGATAAAACATGTTATGAAATTGTGGAATGTGGAACTTTAAAAAAATCTGATAAATCATTATACAGTATTTTTAACAACTAACTATGGTAGTTTGTGCCTGTAATCCCACAACTCAGGAGGCTGAGACAGGAGTATTGTCATGAGTTCCAGAATAGCCTGAGCTACATAGTGACATCCTGTCTACCTCCCCAAATTGTTCTTATTAACTACTTTTTTCCACATTCCTGCCATCAGACTTCTAAATATGCACATATTTTCTTCTTTTGTTTTGCAAGTCATTTATAAACAATTATGTTTGTAGACGTGCCGACACAGCCCACAATACATGAGTGACTTGATTCAATTTTATTTTTACTCTAATAACTATAATTTGCCAATTTCTGTCACTCAGATAAGCTGTTTTCCTTAACATTGGTAGCTTTTTATTTTAAACACTTAGGAACATGCAGGAAAGCTCAACCATTGCATTATTCTACACACACAAATAAAACTTATCCAGAGTTATAAGATATACATTTTGACACTATTTTAATAATGAAACAATTAAAAATAATATGAATGCCTATCAGTAATACTCATGTTAGATGAGTGTTTTACCACCATTGTTTTTGAATGTACATATTAGTAACATTATTTTCTAAGGTGTTATTGAAAGTGTGTTCTTCTAGATTAAATTGTCAACAAATTATGTGTGCTTTTGGTTATTTTAATTTTCAGGTTATTTTGTGAACTTTTGATATCTTTTGATGCTTTAAGTGAAGAGCATGTATTAGTTTCACTATCACGTGGACATTATTTTATCTTAAATATTTCACCGATTTGTCAAATTTATAAACATTAGGACTCAACGGTGGTAGGTACTTGCTATACATCTGCACATATTGGTTAAAACACAGAAATTTTATATAATGTCTAGTCCATAAATTAAACATAAGTGGGTAAATATGATTATTAGGAGTTAAAAGTTGCAAGCACTTTGTTAAACTTTTCTGCCCAGAATAGACTCATCTTAGTGAGTCTTTGGGGAATTCTTTTCTAGAAGCTGAAAAACTAGTGTTCATTACTTGGCAATAAATGTTCGCTTTGATTAATTGATCTCATTCCTGAAGAAGCCAAGATTTAAAAACATTCATGACCTTATGTTCCTTACAGGACCATAATTTTTTTCTTCCTGTATTTCCCAAGACTGTATCTCTGATCTTACAGACATGCCACTGTGATGTGCTCCCTCACCTAACATAATGTCCATCAAGAGGCTACAGATGTGTACAATGGATGACTCTTTCAAGGTTGTCATCTGGGCAGCTTTGCCCCTGGGGAGCAGCCCAAGCCTCTGAGAAAGTTTACTGCTGTTTCTCTGATCTCTGAAATGACAACATGGACTGGAGAGAGTAGCAGGGATGGAGGGATCTGGAGGATTTCACAATAGAGTTAGATAGGAATAAGAAATGCGGGCGTGTTGTGGCACAGTGTAGATTGTAGGTAATAACACTGAACTGTACAGTTAAGACAAACCAGAAGGGATTTGGAATATTTTTATTGCAAAAATTTTTTAAGGAGATCAATACATTTAACCCAATTTCAACATATCACACTTATATGTGTACATATAAAAATATTATGTAATAACATGTTAATATGTATAATATTAAGGTTTTTATGTGAAAATTAAAATGCTTTCTGTTTAAAAATTAAAGATAGACTAAGATAATGAAACTATGTTAAGGTATAAGACATACTGAGATTGAGTAGGAATGTGGCATTTCTTTTTAAATAGATATTGATTTCTCTTAAGGAAAATGTGACATAATGCAAAATCTCTTGTACTATTTTCACAATTACCAATATAGCTACATGTTTATTGATAATAATAAGTATGCATGTATGCCATATTGAACTTGTAGTTCTATTTCCAACTGAACATAATTAATTGAATAAAATGTGTAATAGAATCAAACTAGACACAATGAGGTTTCTTTGTTTATATGTACTTTCATACTCACTAGAACACTTTTGAATATTATGATTTTGACAGGCAGGAGAAGAAGAAGAGTTATTCCTGTGTCTTGTGTATAAACCTGGATCTTAGTCATGTTCAACTTGTTCTGTTGAATAATTTATTAAGTTAGAAAAAACAACAGTAGTTAAATGAAAATCTTAATACGAAACAGGATTTGTTGTGTTGGGACTTTTCTACCACAAGAATTTAAATTAATGTTTGATTGATGGGAACCCTGACCTGCATTTAGGTTGCACAGTAACACAAGTACAGTTTGCATCTGCCAGTGTTAGCATGAGACACAGCCTTTCTATATTCCAGTTACACTTGAAGATCTAATTAGCTTAATCTTCTTTCCATAGGCGAGCTAGACGGCAGGATGTAAAGTACGGGGACCCAATCACTCAGTGCTGGGACGTAGAAGACAGTAAGTATGGACTTAACGCATATTTCTTACCACTTACAATGCTAGCCTTCCAGTGTATTTTTAAAATTACTATATGAATCTAAACAACCATATATATGACTATCTCATTTTGTATAATGCTTTTATTATGGAAAAGCAACAGTTTTATAAACCAATTCCCTGTCTACTTGCCTAAGTGAATAATCTTTTGTTAAATCATGATTTGTTTCATATGTCTTTATATCCCTGTGCCATAGCATGTTTCTTCTTCTTCTTCTTCTTCTTCTTCTTCTTCTTCTTCTTCTTCTTCTTCTTCTTCTTCTTCTTCTTCTTCTTCTTCTTCTTCTTCTTCTTCTCCTCC